TTCCCCATTCAGATGGCCGTAAAAAAGGGAATAAATCCCACATATTCAGACACGCCCTTAAATATCAGATTGGTGATTACATATCCAAGTCATATCCCATTTTTAAAAAAAAAGACATATCCCATTAAAACATCCCATGAAGATATCCCGGTGGTAGAATCACCCTCAATTTTTTTTCTCCCTTCTCCCGGTTGTGCCAGGATGCCTGGGAGAGAAAATGCTCACGCTCTCCTGCAACGGAAGGCTATATGCTATTTTTTACAAAATCTATACGTATATATATATATATACATACATACATATATATATATAATTATATATATAATTATGTATATATAATTACAGTATATATATAATTACAGTGTATATATATATAATTACAGTATATATATAATTATATATATAGTATATGTATATATATATATGTTACTGTGTATAGAATATGTGTAGAATATGTATAGAATACGTATAGAGTACGTATAGAATATAATACTATACATTACTAATCATACTAACCATGTATAGAATATCATAGAATGATATGTATGTACAATGTACAGTATGTTTAAATATATATATATAATCGAATGCAATGCAATGAAATGCATGTCTGTATGTAGACAGATGTGCATTTTTTTCAGTGAACGGCGAAGAGTATAGCCTCATAGTATTGCCCGTTGGCAATAGCCCGGATGAGTTGAGCATGACCATCCGATGGACCATCCATCATCAAAACCGCCCCACAGAAGCCACCAGCTGCGGTCCTTTAAAAAATGAGGTGTTCTGCCCCTCAAAGATTTGCCATGGAAGTGGTGATTTTTATGGTGAAGAAATGAGGTGTTCATAAATTCAATGGCCTATGTAAGGGAATATCCCCACAAAATATGGCCTGAAATATGGTACTAACGTACCTCCATTTTAGGATCCTGAAATTCCCATTGATAAATTTTCGCTTGGGATTCTCCGACAAAACACGACACGATGGCAGACTGCGTCCTCTCCATCTCCAACAGCCAGGGATTCCGCCTGGCTCAGGGGGGTGGTGTTCGTTCTCCGAAAGCGTGATCTTTGAGGTGGCGTGGTGGGCACCGTGATAAACCCAGCCCTATAAGGATCTATAAGGATCTATAAGGATCTATAAGGATCTATAAGGATCTATAAGGATCTATAAGGATCTATAAGGATCTATGAGGATCTATGAGGATCTATAAGGCTATAATCCAGCTTTTGCCATGAGTTACTGATCTGAAGTTCCACTTCTGAACCATCGCAGTGGACTCCGGCAATTTCCTGCGACAAAGGTCCACCAACTGGACCATAGGAATCCCCACTGTCATCTACCAAACATAACTGGTTGGTGGTATACCTACCCCTCTGAAACATATGAAAATCAATGGGAAGGATGACATCCCATATATGAAATAGAAAATAAATAATGTTTGAAACCACCAACCAGATAACTTATACTTAATTATCAAGTGGAATTCGAAGTTTAGACATGCTGAGACCATCTTAGACCTCTACAAATGCTGTAAAAAAAACCCATTGAAAACCCATGGAAACTGGCATTCAACTCATTTAGGTCCACGCCGTGGTCCACGCCCCTTTCTTTTGCATGCGCGCGCATTGTCAGGAGAGCGTTTCTGGGAAAGCTGCGGACTCCCACGTGCCGGTTCCGTGGGACGGGCCCGGAAAAATGGCCATCCGAAAGATGGCCGGTGTCAAACCTGTGGCCCCCAGTGGGAAGATGTTCAAATTTGAATGTAGCAAGCCTGTTTTCAAAAAAGATTGGTTTCTTCAAAATTTCTCCGTTTCCGAAAATGTGAAGCCACTTGAAGCTGTACAAAAATCTATCTTTTTGGCTTACGATCATCTTGACATATCGATAGACATGTACCATCTGGTTATTTAACATAGCCATGGAAAATCCCTTATAAATGAAGGTTTCTAGCTGGGAAAATCATCTATAAATGGGCAATTTTCCATGGCTATGTTAGTCATAACCAGAGGGTACATATTTTTCGGTTGCCCCAAGGATGTCGTTGAGACCCAAACGGCCATCCTGAGCAAATTCATGGGTCATTGCTGGTTTGTTTCGATAGTTGATACATTTCACGATGCCCAAACAGACATTGGGTGATTGGAACAATCCCACAAAATGGATGGGTGACCCACCATCCATGGAAAACTAAATGATGCAACAAAAAAATGCCAAATTGAACAAATGGCTGTAATGTATACGTGATAAAGGATCGTCTTTGATCTCCATTTCGATGTTCATCTTGGTTCACAGGTTGCACCAGCTGTCCCTGGTGTCACCAGTGGGCGGCTCATCCCCGCCCACTGCTCATCTCGAGGGAATTTCGTGGTGTCAGATAGTCTCCATGGAGTTGCAAAGTGGCAAAATGATCATCTGCTTGGTGGTATACCTACCCCTCTGAAAAATATGAAAGTCAGTTGGGATGATTCTTCCCAACTGAATGGAAAAATAAAAAATGTTTGAAACCACCAACCAGTATCATAGTTCACTTCACTACCCTGACAAGTTGCCGAATTTTAGGGCCATTTCGGGATGATGCTCGAAATACTTTACTAAACACCATGGAATGGTCACGTCAGCAAAGGTAACAAACCATCGAACAATCTTGGAAGCATGTGTATATCATTGTATGTCATTGTTAATCTCCAATATCATTGGGGATCAAAAACAACAAGTTGAACCAAGAGTGCGCAACCAAACATCTTGCTGTTGTATCCCCATCAAATGCTACATTAGCCATCAAAAACAAAAACTATCTCATCTCATTAAACGGGTTAATTAGTAGTATTCCTATTCCGGGTTCTAATAATCCTCAATAAACCACTTTGTCTTTTGTATAGTCCCCTATGTTAACCCATCAACAGAGGTATATCTTTAATGGCTCACATGGTCTGATCCCTAGAGTTGCTGAGAGATGAGACTTCTGCGGATGCGGATTGCGATTCTGGGTCGCCCCATCTGTATCTCGGCCAAAGGTCGCGGTCGCTGTTTCATCAGCTCAGTCGAGGGTCACATGGTGATGTGTTGGGTCTCATCTACCCATGGCCAATCAGCCAGATACCCTGCAAAAAATTAAATTCTTAGCTGCTACGTAGATAATCCCGTTGATACCAAAAGACTAAAGGATTAGTTTCTACCCATCTAAGATTGACCTAAAACCATTGAAGAACTACTACATGTCCTGCTTGCGTTATGAAGAACCACGTCACATAAGAAGCGGTCAGCAAGCACAATAAAAAACAACCAGAGCCGCCCCTCGCGCAATTATGTGCACATATCTACCAGACAACTTACCCTCAGGTAAACTAACATAGATGTGGAAAAACCACCATTTCTAGATATTTCCACATGGATTCCACATCCGTTGTGTATCTGGGTTGCCGTGGGTGACCCGGGTGGGTTGCCGCCACGGCACTTCAGAGTTGGCCTAAAACGTCAGGCCGACCAGCGAAGGACCTTCTGTCGATGACATCTCGTCAGGGGGACCCGCGAACTGCCGCGAAAAAGAGCGAAGAGATGTTTTCAGAGATGGCGAAGTGAGTCAAAACCGACTGGTCCCCAAGATGGGACCCATCCAGCTGGTGCTGGATGGTTCATGATGTTTGGGGACCCCAATTCATGGTGGAGGACACTGGTTTTGACTCATCCCCCAAAGATTCCATTCATGGAATGATATCAGCGCAGGACGCTGTGACAGCAGGCCTCAGAGTGGAGGCGAATGCAGGCGAAGCTGAAAAGCTGGCGACGTCTCGGCGAAGATTTCGTGACTAAAATGTCATGGTGGAGGCATTGGTAGAATATTGAACAGTGTTATCTCAAAGCAGCAGTAGCAGCAAAAATAGATAAAAATAGTAGAATGGTTGAACTTTTGATAGACAACAAACCCAACACGTTTTACGTTCTGGACAATGTCACCCATAAAATTACAACTGCCAAAGCCGTTTTGAAGAAAAATCACGATCAGACAAAGACCTTGGAAACAGGTGGCTTATGAGATCTTTGACAAATTCTTATGAAAGTTCTTCATGTATATCTATACAAATATATGAGGGTTTCCTGAAATGGGGCTACCCCCAAATCAATCCAAATCATCCATTTTAATAGGATTCTCTATTAATTATAAACGATCATATTCAATAGGATTCTATTTTAATAGGATTCTCTACTAATTATTCTCTATTTTAATAGGATTCTCTATTATTTTAATAGGTATCCCCATTTATGGAAACCTCCATAGGGACTTCCTTGAAAATCTCTAGTAAGTCACAAAAAGGGGTTGCCCTGGGAAGGAGTGGGCAATCCGCGAATTGGGGAACTTCACGTCACGTGACGCAACATGTGAATAAAGGCAAGCTGAAAAAATGGTATAGCTTGAGGCAAAAAAAATGTGAAATCTAGTGAAAATAAAAATAAATAGAGGTAACATGATGTAACTTACTGCATCACCAGTCCACTCGTGCACGTTGTCGAGAAAATGACAAACGTACACATCTGTTATTAGCCACAAAACTCACCAGTGAGTTAAAACATCATTCTATTTTCCATGATACCATCTGGTTGTTTAACATAGCCATGGAAAATCCATGATAAATGGAGGTTTCTAGCTGGGAACATCATCTGTAAATGGGCCATTGTCCAGTTCGCTATGTGAAATAACCAGAGGGTGCATCAAAATGATATTCCCTGAAATCATGGGGTCAACAATCATTTCAGTAAGGTCGTTGAGAAGTTTATTCAGATAAACATTGGTGACCATAACCATACTACCCCAGGTTTAAAATCACATTTAGGATTTAGCATTTTTCACATCACGCGGATTTTACCTATTGTTTAGATTGTTTAGAATAATTAGGGCACTAAACCCATGTCGGTTTACTCGCTCGACCAAACTATTTTGATTGCATTGCTACTATGCATAATAATATCATACCATTAACTACCCTTCATCAGTGAATTTACTTAAGGTTTACATGTTTACCTAGGTCTTTAGACCAAGGTTTGGGTCAGCATCCTGCCGTGACTAAGGGTTGGCATCACGTAGCTCACTGACCTTTGCCAGATCCTCTTTCGAAAGGGTACCTGAGGAACCAGAAAAACCAGCAGTTTCACACAAGGTTTCCCAAAATCTTCAGAGATTTGGCCTTAAACAACCAACGATTAAAAATTTCCGGGGACAATTGGGACATGATTCACCGATGGATTATGGATGGATCAGGAATCCCCCAATGTTGGACACCCAGTCCCAATGATATTGAGGGACTACCTGGTGTCAGGTCTCCAATGCCAATAGCCATCCTGGAATCCAAAAATTGATATAGCCACGTGGTCGCCGATTGCGCAAGCATTAGGACACTCTGGGCATTTTTTTTGAGGGGGCTGGGAGGCAAGGTATTCTGGAATGGTGCTTGAAGAATCAGCCACATGATTCAACAATAAGTTTTGTCTTAGACGAAAGGATAGGATGAACATAAAGAACCTTCACTTGTGAACCTGACTGGAATCTTGACAAGACGACAAGACATCTAAACGAACAGACTCGAAATTTGCTGAGTTTACCCTCTGGTAGTTTAACACTTTGCTATTGAATATCACCATTTTATAGCTGGGTAAATATTCAAAGTAAATGGACCATCAAATCCTAAAAGAAAAGCCTTAGTTCCTTCATTCCCATCATTTACGCCTTACGGTCAAGCGTACCCGCTGGTAATAAAAAACGTAGCTATGGTTAAAATGGCCCGATGAAATAGTTGATTTATCTCCAATAAAAGTGATGATTTTTCATAGTTATGTTAGTTTACCAGAGGGTAAAGCAATCCATTACCAGAGGGTTTTTCTTGAGTCTTCAACGATTAAAAATGGTGATTTTCCATCGTTTTTTCTATGCTTACCAGAGGCTAATCAGTCACCAACCTCAAGGAGCAGCCAAAAAAACGTGACTCGCGTGACTCGCGTGACTCGCGTGACTCGCCTGCGCGTGGGACGTTGACCTTAATGGTGATGTAATGATCACCTCGCTCCTGGACGGCTTGTAAGGGTCTGGGAAGCTCATCCCACGACTTGTAGGCAGGTTATGTATATATAATTATATATAATTATATATATAATTATATATAATTATATATATATTATATATATTATATATATATATATTATATATAATATGATTATAATTATGATACATATACATATATATATATCTCTCCCTGGTTATAAGGGGGATAAGTAGGGTTCATCCACTTATAACTAGGTAAGTGGGATGAGCCAGCCAGATTTCTGGTCCCTTCCCCCAGCCAGCTGAGTCCCGATGGGTCTAGAGGCCGGGGATGAAAAAAAGTCTCATCCGCTTCGTAAGCGCGAAGTTTTTCACGCAGCTCTGTTCATGATGAATCCACTTCAAATGATGACTGCTTGGTGGTTTCAACCCCTCTGAAAAATATATATAAATATTGGTCAATGGGAAGGATTATCCCATATATTATGGAAAATAAAAAATGTGTGAAACCACCAACCAGATTATTATCATTATTAAGAGAATAGATTAGATATGATGATGAATAGATTATCATGATTAAAATAGATCAATCTAATCTATTCATTAAAATGATGATGATTAGAATAGATTAGATTGGTTAGATATGATGAATCCTCATGATTGATGGCAAAATCTAATCATGAATACATCTAATACATCTGTTCGATTGATATTTTAGATATGATTAGATTAAATTGTATCCCCATGTTGAATGTTTGGATTTAACCGAATTTAACCCTTGACTTAATCTCGACCTCCCCATCTTTTGCGCCTATGCTTTGTCACGCTTTGTCCGGAAACACATGGTAAGTTCCTTTCAAAGAATCATGGGTTTTCGTCATTTTCCCAGTGCTAAACGCCGTTCGAAATCAAAACCATCGTAACTTCCCCCTTTCTTCAGGTATACCCTCTGGTAATTTAACATAGCCATGGAAAATGGCCCATTTATAGATGATTTTCCCAGCTAGAAACCTCCATTTATAAGGGATTTTCCATGGCTATGTTAGTCATAACCAGAGGGTATATTTGTCATCATTGTCCCAATTGTTTAGTCATTCGGGGTGAATCCCCCAGTGTTCACGTACCAGGCCGCGGCCCCGGGACCCCCAGTGTTCGGGCGCTCCGTGGGCTTCCCCAATTTGGGCACGCCCCGGCCACGGATGCGGAGACGCGTCTCTGGTTGGGTGCCTGGATGAAATCATGAAGACTCAACCCCTCTGGGAATGGATTGCTTTACCCTCTGGTTGTATCAACAGTTTGCTATGGAAAATATGGCTCAGTCGAAATAGTTGATTTACCCAGCTATAAAATGGTGATTTTCCAGTTCGTTATGTAACAGTTTACCAGAGGGTAAGGGAAATTTTACAGGAAAGCTTGAAAGCCCCAATCATTGATGGGAAAATCGATGGTTTCCTGTAGATGTTCCAGCAATCCATTGATGCTAATGACTAAGGGAAAATCTACAGGAAACCCATGGGTTTTTAACATCAATTAGAGGGGGTTCTTGGTCAAAATTTCTCTTAAACCAATCCAATGACCTCTGGGAATGACAAACCGTTTGCTATGGAAAATCTATGAACATCACCCTTTTTTTCATTGGTAAATCATCTCTGGTTGGTGGTGCAATAACCATCTTGAAAAATATGAGTTCGTCAATGGGAAGGATTATCCCATATATTACCCTCTGGTAAACTAACGTAACTATGGAAAATCACCATTTTTAATGAGTAAATCCACTATAAATGGCCATTTTCAATAGCTATGTTAGTTTACCAGAGGGTATAGAAAATAAAAAATGTTTGAAACCACCAACCAGATCTTTAAATGGCTAAACTAACGTAGATGTGGACCATTAAATCACCATTAATGGGTACCCATGACCAGAGGGTAACTTGATAATCCCCCAAATATTTATCACCAGGGTTTTAACCCCAGAAATTCGCTGGGATGAGCCTCCAAGTAGATTGGAAATCTGTTGTCGGAGATGACATCTGTGTTGCGTATCTAAACATTAACATCTATATATATATGGTGTAAATATATGTATAAATATATGTATAAATATATGGTATAAATCTATGGTTACCCCCAATATCTATCGATATCAACTAGTTATTTAATAAATATCCATAAATATTCATGAATATATATATATAAACATAAATCCAACACTTGTTGGAGTTATGTAGAAACTCCACATGAAGCCCAACTGTGGGGCCCCGCATCCCATTTTGAGGTACCCAGTAAACTAAGATATATGAGGATTCCCAATCCATTTGGCAAAAAAAATAGACCCAATACCTAATCTAATATGTGCATATATGTATATATATATATATACAATTTCTCCCATTTGAATCCAGTATCACCCATTATCTTAGAATCTTATGTCTTAAGTGACCCATTTTATATCATGGGAAGTACTGCTCGATAGTGGACTAACCTCTCCACTTTAAATGTCATGTTTTTACATCCCACTGTTTAATATCCAATTACCTGCGATGTTGGGGATTAAAGTCCCATATATATATATATATCCCACTATGTCATCCATTATCTCAGACTCCAAAGTGATCATTAATTACCCTCTGGTAATTTAACATAGCTATTGAAAATGGCCATAGACATAGTGGATTTTCCCAGCTATAACATGGTGATTTTCCAGTTCGTTATGTGGCTGTTTACCAGAGGGTACTTATAAGATCTTTTCTCAGCATCCCATGACATATCCCATTATATATATCTGGTGGTTTCCCATATATATATATATATGTTAATATTATTTATACACTTATCCCATATTATACATCCCATATTATGGTTATAGCATCCCATGAACTATCCCATGAAATATCTGGTGGTTTCCGATCTAATGGCTCTCCAAGTCATCCAAGGGGTTTTTTCGAAAAAATCCTCTTGGATTCCTTGGATGAGAACTGGGGTACCATGTTAGGAAACCAAAAAAAAACGCAGCGATGAATCCACTCTCTGCCATAAAATCTCCCCATTCTTTACCCTCTGGTAAACTGTTACATAACGAACTGGAAAATCACCATTTTCTAGCTGGGTAAATCCACGATTTCAATGGCCATGTTCAATAGCTATGTAACAAATTACCAGAGGGTAGGTGATTTCAATGGTTCTCCGGAGACCCATCTGCACGCCTGCAGGGACTTTGATGTCAGCATCGCCATCGATGGTCTTCACCTGAAACCCCGCTTTAACAACGTGGCCGTGCTAAATGTTCCACCTAAATGTACATTGGATATCTATATAAATATGAATATGTTTGACATGTACCATATATATTTATACATATAGTAGATATCTAAATGTATCTAGATGTTCCTGATATCTTTTAAAGGATAGTTCTACTGGAGAATTGAAAGCTTGAGTGTCTTTTCATTTTGAGGTAAAGGAAGTCCTAAACATCACCCAACAAAAAAGGGAATGTTTCTCGTCGTTCCAAGGATCAGAAGGGGATGAAGCAAGTCGAGGACGAGAAAAGACATAGTTTTCAGAATCATTCTTGAAAATCAACTGATGAAAAATTCAAAATTCGGTTTTTTTCCATTCCGAAACTAGGAATAGCCAGACTTCGATTGCAATTTCTTCCTGGTCAAGGTCCGTTTCATGAAGCATTCAGGTTTCATAAGGCAGCGGCACGGGGATGAATCGGGCCAACTGCGCGACTTTGCCATATTACCAAACAACATAGAGTATATACATATACATATGTATATATATATGTATCTATCTATCTATCTATCTATCTATCCATCCATCCATCCATCGATCTATCTGTCTGTCTATCTGTCTATCTGTCTATCTGTCTATCTGTCTATCTGTCTATCTATCTATCTATCTATCACATATAGACTATACATGGCATTCTATCTCTTGTATTCAGCACCAAATATCCCATCCACGACACCTTGATGGAGGTGCCAAGGATAGAGTCGAAGACCGAGATCTCGCTCTCGGTGTAGATGTCGAAATCTTCCCGCTGGAAGTCAGAAGAGGGCCTGGGAGAGGCCCTCGGGGGCATGATTAATTTATGGTAGGTTAATGATGGTTAATATACTGTTAATTTGATGGTTAATATTAATGGTTATTATATGGTTAATGATGGTTAATAATAATCTGGTTGGTGGTATACCTACCCCTCTGAAAAATATGAAAGTCAAATGGGATGATTATTCTCAATATATGGAAAAAGATTAAATGTTCCAAAGCACCAACCAGGTATATATTAATATATAAGACAACATAAGACAACATAATACATATACATTCTCAGTAGGCACCCCATTTCTGGTGGGTTAAACAATTAGGAAATAAGAAACATCTTCAGCAAACCCAGGAATACCCAGGAATCCGTAGATGTTTATTCATCGCAAGCCTGAAGCAGTTCCAGAACTAACCACACAAAATGAGGATAGAGCAATTAGTTTTGAGATATTGCGAGAATACGTTCATGGATATAATATAATGATAAAGCCTATTCTACGTAGTTATAATTGGGGCTTAATGGGATATGATGGGGATATATGTAAGCAACAATGTGATATTTGGCTTCGGCCAAACGGGGATGGACTACAACTTCAAACGCCTTGTTTGGTGCTATCATCTGCAGACGAGTCAAGCCCGTGCGGGGTTTTTCTTGGGGGACCTATGGGGGACCAAAGGATTGCCATGGATACCCAATGGACCCACGAAGGTTCATTGCTTCCCCTCTGCTTTTGCTGCCCTATCTTTTCGATCTGTTCGCGGATTCGCGGAGCGTTTGGCAATGAGTCAGCCATGTTCATTGCTTTTTTTGGGCCAGAGAATTGTATATACATCATTTGGAGGTGTCCTAAAATGGGGGTACCCCAAATCATCCAAGTCATTAGAACATTTTAGTATTGAAACCCATGGTTTTGGGGATTACCCATTTTGAGGAACCCGCATTAAAGTATCTTTGGGTGAGATGATAGAAAGAGGCTATCATTGCTGTGGAGGCACGTCACTTTGACGCCAATGTACAAGTCCCCGGCAGGGCCCTTTTTGGGTCCTGCCCAAAAAGGCAAAGCACAAGGGGCTACCTCGAGGGTCAGTCATCATTTCTAGATCATTTCCTGTCCAAAAATGAAAGTTTTTGAGCAACTTGTGGGTTGAAACTTAGTTGATACGAGGAAAAAAACACATTTGCTGGATCCTAAAATCTTGGTATCAGCGGAAATAAGTGCAAGATGCAACTGGATCGGGAAAAACCACCAAAAAACCACCAACCATGGAGAAAATGACAACATGGAACAACTGCACCATCTTGACGACTTAGAAATGAACGGAACTGTCCAACTTGCATGCCATCTCCTTCACCCATTTTTCTTGGGTTCCCTGAGAATCAGCAAAAGTGCCTGAAACATTGCTGCACATTGGCAAAGTCCAAAACCACACTGGTGGTCTGAACTGGTATGAACGGTGGGTCATAAGAGTCATAAAAATCCTGCTGAAAGCTGGTAGTAAAACTCCTGAGAAGTCTGATCAATCACGATTCATAGCCCATAGCCATCCATAGCCCACCAATGCCCACTGCTGTGAAACCAAACCTCCTCTCCACTTTGGCTCCCCTCCGGGTCCTTTGTCTCCCTCCCCTCGCAGGCGCAATTGATTTCCTCAGTTCCCCAACAGGGCTGCTTGGGACCTGCCCAATTTGGAGCCCGCAAAAATGGATCTGGTATTGCCCTCAATTTTGGGTCTCAATGTTCCAATCCAATTGTGGATATTGTGGGGATCTCCAAACTTTTGGACCCCCCAAAGCATTAACTTCTCCTGCGCCAACTGTCTTCAGCCCTGTTCATTCCACTCTTACTGCGGCTTTGGATCCTTCAAGTTTAGATACCATCTGGTTATTTTACATAGCCATGGAAAATCCCTTATAAATGGAGGTTTCTAGCTGGGTAAATCAACTATAAATATTTTCCATGGCTATGTTAAATAACCAGAGGGTAGATCCTTCACGAAACAAACTGCGGCTCTGCCCATGGGAAGGATCACCCCAGAGCTGAAGATCTTTGGAACTTTTGACCAGATGTTAAAGCCCCAAACTATTCTCAACAGGTTACAATAGTTCCCAAGCCTCTTTTTGGTGAAGCCAGATTTAAAAAAAAAAACGATTCCTCTACTAACCATCAGTATCATCATTTTGGATAGAGTTTACCCCAATCCTGAGCATCATTTCCGACGTCGCAGTGAGGTCATTATCACACTTCTATCCCAAGTTTGGGATCAACCCTGCAAGTGATTTTAATCTCCATAAATAATTGATATAACCGGCAAAAACTAGGGCCCGTTGTAAAACCAATCATTTTATGGATATGTTTGGAGATTTTTCAGGAGATATACAATGTGGGGCCCCCTAGTTATAAGTTGGTTTATAACCCCATCTAACTATGGTTATAACTACCATAAACCCTAGTTATTGTAGTTATAAACCAAGTTAGCTATCTTGGGGGCCCCACATTGTATGATGGGATACACGCCCAATTTTTTCTGTTTCGCCAGGGCTCCATTGTTGCAGCCCGCTGGCACCTGGTGAGGGAAACTCCCCGGGATCCAGGCCGAACGAAAAGTGCTGTGTAATCCTGAGTTTTTTAACACCAATCAAAAGAAGAGCTAGTTAAATAACCATGAGTTTAACACCATTACAGTATCATGAGGTTGATTAATAATAAGATTGTTTAGTTTAGTTTAACACCATGACAGTATCACTGTGTTAATTAGTTTAACACCATTACAGTATCATCACAATTTAAAAAAAAAATCGTTTAATCCTGAGTTAAATTTCAAGAAGACCCAAGAACCCATAATCTTCCAGTTTGAACAAACAGTTGTTGGTTGCCAAATCTTCCTGATTTATTTGGAAAAGAATCCTGAGTTGTTGGTTGCCATAATCTTCCAGTTTGAGCTTTTCCAACCAACCAAAACGGTTCTTGGCTTCTCGGATGGTCAACATGGTCATGCCCACCAATTTGCTCAGGGGCATGGGACGCAACATGGTCAACCAATGAATCGTGAACCCGTTGCTATCCGATCCAGCCGCACGGAGTCCTGATATTGGACGTATAAACACTAACTATATAATACTATAAATACTATAAATACTATATATATATTACATACGATATATGAATATATATACACATATGAATATATATATATATGAATATATATATATATGAATCTGAATATATATATATATGAATATATATATATGATTATATATGTATGAAATAAAGATGTTCCGTCCCGTAATATTAGGACATAGAGTACCACGTTCATAGAATCTACTATTATAAGCACATGATAGGTGCCAACTATACCTCATGTTGGTGGCGTAGTGCAACAATATAACAAGTATATCTTTGGAACAAAAGCACTATCACTATATAGCCATCCACAATCCGGAAAAAAAAAAGAAGAGTTTGGGTTGCTTCCCCATCTTCCCCTACCATGTCTGGCATGGAGGATCAAATCCTTGGAGCAGGTGGGGTCAATGTTTCGGGCCACCCATTTCCATCATATAATAGAGATGGGAAAGACATATTCATTTACCGGGGAAAAAAAAACGAGTAAAACGTGGCTTCAGAATTAAACACCATGCATTTGAGGGTCCAATGTTTAGTTAGCTTTACAACTAGCTTTATGACATCAGCCTCTAGGATGGAGGTTTTCCAAAACATGTATTGTGATTCTGATATGATTCAGATATGATTTGTTGTTATGATTTGTTATGTGTTGCAGTTGTTCTGATCTTGATGAGGCTCAAAAGTGTGAATTTTTTGTTGAATCAAAACCACAAAAAGCCTCAAGCTCCCAAAGCATATCAAAACCTATCCAAATCATATCCAAAACCATATCTAAACCACAACCCAAACCATATCAAAAACATGACAAAACCATATCGAACACATGACACCCGAAATTCAAGCCGCGTACCAAAATCACTTCTTAGAATCATGATTTTGGCTTCCTAGAAGGATTTTGACGTCATAAGACTAGCTTAACAAACCGCATTCTAGTTAGATGGCTACTAGCCACAAACAGCATTTCGAGCACCACCTTGAAGCGTAGAATCCATTAAAATCCCGAAAAATTGATGGGAGAATCCATTAAAATCCCTTAAGATCCATTTATTTCGGAAGCCCCCACCCGTTACGACCCGTTACGGGTTGTAGCACATCACCGCACCTTCACCGTCACTGTCTGCTGATTGGGCTTGGTGCCCTGGGAGGGTGAAACCCCACCCGACCGTGTCTTCTAAAGCAGTAAAAACGATGTTTAAAAGATAAATGAAGATATGTGAAGATAAATGAAGATAAACTATACTTTGCATGGTTTTTTAAGAAGCACTACGACATATGGATATAGAACAAACCGTACAGGGGCATAATGAGATGCATCGCCAACGATGTGATGCTCGAGACCCAAATCCCGCTGATGTGCCCAAAGGTGCCCCAGAAAAAGGGAGGTGTCCAAACATGGCAGGTGGACTGGGGATATGTTCTGATATTATGAGATACAATGATGGGATGGATATATTGTATAACCAAAAATATGAATCAACAGCAATCAACATGTTTTTTGTACATCAGAAATGTGGTCTAGCCCAAGATTGTCATTTAAGTTCGGAAAATGATGGCAAACAATTGTCTAAAAGCACCAAGCATTTGAGGCGACACAGCTACACCAGCTATCTCTCCTCTACCGAACTGATGGTAGAACCCCCCCCTGCTATCACTATTCTTTGATTCTTTGCCCCTTGTTGTTGGCGAATGTTGAAATGATGAATCCTCTACTTTCGTCAAACTTGAGTCTAGATATCCCGACTGAACAACAGAACAATATAGACATAGAATGATCATCTAACTTGCTATCTGTAGTGGAAGATCAAGAATTCCAAGCTGCAAACATTTGGAACCCATCCACCAAGCCATTTGAGTTGGTTGGTACCCCTAAATCCGAAGCTTCACATCATCATTTTCCCCATGAAGATAGCCATAAATTAGGGGGCCGTCTCTGGTGCAGGCCCTGTTTCAAGACAAACCCAACGGTGTCTTGGTGAAGATCACTTACATCGCATGACCCCCGCTGTTGAGGATGAAAATCCCCCCATTTGTAAGGCAACCCCCATATAATGTGAGCGTCAAAAACATTCAAAAACCTGGGAACTGGCTCCACTAGTGTGTCGCACATAGCTATTCCAATTGTTTGTTCCATGTAATCAACAAAAATCCCGAAAAATAGATAAGTACCCTCTGGTAATTTAACATAGCTATTGAAAATCACCATTTATAGTGGATTTTCCAAATGAAAATGGTGATTTTCCATAGTTATGTTAGTTTACCAGAGGGTAGAACTTGTAGAACCCCAAGATTCCCAAGAAACATCATTTTTCACCAACGGATTTCAAACGACTGAAGGTCCGATCCGCCTTCCCTCGGCAGGAGGTGCAGAGAGATGAGGGATCGATGCCATCGCCGTTACAGGCCGGGCAGATCTGCGGCGGCGGGATGTTTTTTCGACGTTTTCCAAGAGAAATGGGGAAAAGTCATGGAAAAGTTGGGCAAAATTGGTGGAAAATGATGGAGGTATCAGAAATCGTCAACGTTTTTCGGCCATTTAAAATGGATCTGATTATCTAGAAAAAATGTGGATGCTTGTCAAAGCATCCAAATAGGGACTCAAAATGAGATGAGTTGTACCATGCAATCAAACCGTTGGGATTAAAAATGTGTCATTTTTGCCGGAACTATGATGACTTTTTCCCTATGGGTGATGTGTGGCCAATGGATGCCAATGGTCCAACTGCGATGGGGAACTAAGGCTCTGTGGGTTTACAAATTTATGACATTTTTTGGTACATAAGGCCATTGGATTATTTGGAGATGCCGGATGTCAACAATTTCGTGGTGAAATCATGTTTGGCATGTTTGGCATGTTTGGCAAATTGTTTCACGTAGAGTGCAGTCGGACAAAGACTTCTATGCTCCAGAAATAAAGAAAAAAGAAATGTTGGTAAAAAGTGAATATCCGAGTGAAAGCATCATTGATATTTGGCAGTGTGTCAAAACCAATAGTACACCTTCTGTTCACATCAAAATAGCTGGGTTAACATGGATAAGTTCATCCCACCAACAAAATGGTATTTTCATAGGTATTAACTAACATAACTATGGAAAATCACCATTTTTAATGGGAAAACTCACTATAAATGGCCATTTTCAATAGCTATGTTGACATAACCAGAGGGTACCAAAAGAAATGACACACTTAAAGCCTACCGTCTCATGGATACACTATACTTCACTACTTCACTGCGACTTCACCAGCCTTTCCATTACCCTGGGGTAAACGAACATCGATGTGGAAAACCTTCGTTTTTTCCCGAAAATGATCCACAAATGGTGGGAAATCCACGTGTATCTAGTTTACAGAAGGGTAATATCACGTAATGTCCCTGTAATTGTTGCTTTCTTATACCGGCTTCAAATAGGCCTTTTGTCGGATCAATGATCCAAATGACTCTGACTCGACAATCTTCTGCACTTGAAAGGTGATGGTGGAATTGGCAGCCAAACATGTCAACAGTAGCCGCGTAACAGCCGGTTTGGCTGGGCATGTTGCCACACTGTAAAGATTGACCCATTCCCATTTGACTATGTTTCTCAAATATGTCCCATATATTTCCCTATATTTCCCATAAATTTCCAACCCATTGACACAGTTTTTAAAGACATGTGGGATCAGTCCAAAAATTGCCATTTGGAGTGGGGAAACCGCACTGATTTTCCAAACAACTGGATTTTGCACTACTCCCGGAATAGGACCAGGCAAAATCCACAGGTAAATCCCTATCTTTGATATCAAAAACACGTTTGCACACATACTTGTTTTCCTTCAAACCCAATGAAACACATATGGGGGCCCCTATCCTTTTCCCTCTTAAAATCTCAATTCTTACAGGTTCAAATCCCCATGTTTCAAACCTTTCCTTAGTTTTTTCAATTTTCCATCGAAAATCTCAGGTATGTTAGCTTAAATCTATCTGGTTGGTGGTTTCAACCCCTCTGAAAAATATTAGTCAATGGGAAGGATTATGAATGATTATGCCATATATTATGGAAAATAAAAAATGTTTGAAACCACCAACCAGCTATAGAAAACCCCAGGTTTTCTGAGCGAAATCCCCCATGTTTGGGGACCTACATCCGCTGGCCCTGGCCATTCGCTCCCTGCCTGCTGCGTCTGCATGACGCCGAATGGCGTTTGCATCACCTGCAGAACCTCAGGCCAATGGGATGACAAGGTGCCCTTTAGGAGATCCGATGTTTTGGGAAAGGTTCCAATATGTTTTGGGAAATATGGAAAAGGAGTTTGAGATATTATTTGGGTTTGATATATATATATGTATATATATATATATAGTTTTTAATGTGTTTTTTGGTGTTGTTGCCATAAGACTGTGGATATACCATGGATACCAACCAGACTTGCTTGGCTAATGTGTTTGTACCCACAAAGATTGGTTGGTCGACCAGACTCGATGGTTACCAAAGGTCCGAAGTTCTGCCCCCTGCGAGCTGGTAGTGACTGCAGGCACCAGCTAACCCTAGTTGTGGCTAGTTTGGACCCATCAAAATACCTGGTAGTAAGCAGGGACAGCCTCAAATGGCTTTCACCAAAAATGGGGCTTGTTCCTGGTGGTAAACCAGGTTGAACAGACACTGGATCGTTTATCTATTGGCAGCGAAAAAAATGTATATTGACTGCTGTATTTACCAACCGGTGGACATTTCGGACATCCATGCTGTGTACAATACATAAGATAACATAAGATAACATCCGTATCTGCCGTGTATGACCCAAAAAAATGGATAAATCAGATAAATCACCTTTGCTGCGCACAAAAAAGCTATAAGCCAATGACACAATGGATATGAACGGGACGACACCTCTGAATTACAAGGACGTGTGGAAGCTCACCATCATTTTTATTGGAGAAACAATCAAGAATCACATATGTGATCATCATGTTCAATGGGTAAAACATCATTTTTAATTTTGATCATCTATATATATACAGTATTTCTATGGGCCATCTATACCATAGCTATGTTAAATAACCAGAGGGTATACATGGCGGTTTCTTAAAATGGGGAATCCCCAAGTCACCATGCGTTTCAATACTAAAATTGTCTAATAACTTAGATGATTTGGGGTACCCCAAACCCCCCGTAGCTATGGTATAGATGGCTCATTTATAGATGATTTACCATGATTTACCATGATTTACCATGATTTCATGATTTACCATGATTTACCATGATTTCATGATTTACCATGTTTTACCATGATTTACCATGATTTACCATGATTTACCATGATTTACCATGATTTACCATGATTTACCATGATTTACCATGTTTTACCATGATTTACCATGTTTTACCATGATTTACCATGATTTACCATGATTTACCATGATTTACCATGATTTACCATGTTTTACCATGATTTACTATGATTTACCATGATTTACCGTGATTTACCATGATTTACCATGATTTACCATGATTTACCATGATTTACCATGATTTACCATGTTTTACCATGTTTTACCATGATTTACCATGATTTACCATGATTTACCATGATTTACTATGATTTACCATGATTTACCGTGATTTACCATGATTTACCATGATTTACCATGATTTACCATGATTTACCATGATTTACCATGTTTTACCATGATTTACTATGATTTACCATGATTTACCGTGATTTACTATGATTTACCATGATTTACCATGATTTACCGTGATTTACCATGATTTACCATGACCATGATTTACCATGATTTACCATGATTTACCATGATTTACTATGATTTACCATGATTTACCGTGATTTACCATGATTTACCATGATTTACCATGATTTACCATGATTTACCATGATTTACCATGATTTACCTCCTCAGATGCCGAATTTTTTTTCATAGCTACGTTGTTCAACCTTCGCTCGAGGAACTGTGCCGGTGCCATTGCACTTCCGGCACGTGGATGGGCCTCGAAAAGGATCGAAAAGGGTCAATGGAGATGTCGAGGTCACACATTCTATAGTAGATAATGATCATTATCATGATCTATCATTATTATTATACATGATCTATCATTGTCATTATCAATCAGTATCTATCATTATCTATCATTAACAACCAACCGGCTACCATTTCATTGTCAATTGTCATTCTCAATTATCGATAATTATCAATCATTATCAATCATTATCATTGTCAATCAATAATGATCTTTTCTTTTCTTCATAGCTGTGTGGCGAACACTTCAATCTGCCTATCTGCGCACTTCCCCATTCTGCCTTGAGGGTCACTTAGACCGAGCAAATATGGGATATCAACCATTTTGTTTCTGAATTATATGTGTTAATAGTAATTGATAATAATTGACATATGTGTTTATCAAAATCCGCTAATTGCAGCAATTTGTGAGGGTTCGTTCCCGTTGTTGCCGCCATCCATCACAATAAGCCACCACTCTGATACAAAGAGATTTTGATGCTTCCTATATGTTCCAAACATAATAATTATATAGTACGAGCCATCATTTCCAAACCTGAATCAACTGCGGTTGGCCAGTGATCGTTCTCCCATCCGCAAATCTTTCCATTTGGAATGGCTGGAAGTCATCAGCAACATACGGAGAATGGTATGTACCCTCAAGTTATGTCCATGTTAATGGTTGTGAACTTAAAATCTGCTTCAGGTTTCATGAAATTTGGGGGGTTCCCTACCCTCTGGTAAACTAACATAGCTATTGAAAATGACCATTTATAGTGAGTTTTCCCATTAAAAATTGTTATTTTCCATAGTTATGTTAGTTTACCAGAGGGTAATCACTTTCAGACCCGAACATCACCTGTGAATCTTTAGGAGTTACTAATGCTACAGCCAAACAAATTGAACCACCTCCTGACCACAGCCGCACCATCTTTAGCCGGGCCATCCATTCCAAATTTCGATTCCAAATTTCTCAAGTTGGGTAAATCCAAGGCGAAAAAAACCTTCTCAAGTTGGGCTTATTGTTGGCTATAGCCATTTTTGGATATTTTTGGAGGATCTGATTGACCCCCAAATTCTGTGCTAATGGTTTGGGCCATCCCAGATCCGCTAATGATACGCCATGAATCACAGCAAGTTTGATACCAGCTATGGCAATATGAAGGTGATACTTTGTCCAGATATGTTGAGTAGGGACTTTCACCTTTCAAAATTCTGTATGAAATTCGCTTCTTAATGGTAGTTGGTAGTAGTACCTATCAAGAACCAGCCTTCCTAGTTCAAAATTCGATGCTTCTGCAGTGTATGTCTGGTGGTTCGAATAAGTTATGCAGCTTCCAGCCTCTCACAACAGCTCTCATCCCAAATCTTTTGATTTGATGTCAATGGATTATGGTTTGGTAAGTTTGGTATACCAACTATCATCATTTACCTGTTGTTAAAGTGGGTTCTTCAAACCCCTCTATTTTCATCAACCAACCAATGGAAAAGGACATCTTTGGTAATTGACGAGCCGCATGAAATGCCCACGGCTATGGCTGGGTATATTCAATCTTGCCCCACTGGTGCCAGACGCCTGCATGTGCATCCTAGTTAGCAAGTGGTTTATAGCCCATATATACATAACCTATTATATACTCTAAGCCAGAATCTTCCTGAATATATAGATATATATGTATGTATGTATGTATGTATGTATGTATGTATGTATACGTACATACATATATATATATGTATGTATACGTACATATGTATATATATATATGTACACACATGTTAACAATTACCTATTATATAATCTAACTGGAGATATTCGGTCAAGCTATCTGGGGTACTTCAAGACGCTTCTTATCCATTTCTTAACGATGCCTGGAATGAACTCATTCCCAGCCTGCACCAGGCTTGGTGCCACTGCCCTCGCATGTATCACAAATCCTGGACCGTCGTGGAGCCGGAAACATCACTGGAGGCATTGAAAATAGCCCTGTTGATTGATTATTATGAGGTTATACTACCTAGTATATTGATGTATGTTGGGGATTGTTGTTACTATATAACCTTTTAGGAAAAACTCAAGGAACGGCTTTGGTGTCTCATTTATTATCATCTAGCTATTGCTTCTTCAATGACCGGAAGCCTCTATCAACGAACCCAGCCGTCATGGCCATTAAGACCCCTTTGGAAACCATGGGGAAATGTGGGGAAGTTCCACATTGAGTCAGGAATTTCCACGGGCGTTTAATACCATTTAGGGGGTGTTTTTCATATTGGGGGGATGGGATTTTCTACAGATCGTTTGTCTATTCAAAATCAGTTCACCATCAACTTCGGAGGGTACACCAACTGGGATGATATGTTCAACATCTGCGGGGGCCGGGTTGGGCATGCTGCCATCTCCCATCATGGTCCATCGGGTTGGAATGGAGGGCAGGTATACATCACCCTCGTGATAAGTTAATATAAATATAGGCAAAGCGATATCATTGGCGCATATGTACTATGGTTACCATGGTCAAAAGAGAGTATATGGATGTATATGGGGTATGGTCATTCATCCATATCCATCCCACAATTCAAATCCTTGTAATGGATGTGTAAATCCCTTTTAGTGGATGACTATTCCCCCTGGCACCCAGTCGTGACCATGGCATGATGAATCGCCACTTGACTTGGTGGCTGGTGACTTCACCAACCACTTTAGTGGTTGTCTCAAGATTTGGGTGTATTAGACCCTATATATATATACATATGATACCCTCTGGTAAACTAACATAACTATGGAAAATCACCATTTTTAATGGGTAAATCCACTATAAATCACCATTTTCAATAGCTATGTTAGTTTACCAGAGGGTATATGTGCTGGTCAGAAATCTCATGGTAACCATGATCATGTTCCCCAGACTTGCCATAAACGGCTGCAATTTTGGGCAAGTTCCATGGTTTTTGGCAGCCGGCAAATCCATCGATTTTGCCGGAACCCAAACATTTTTGTGGCAGATGAATCCCTTTCTGAAAATATAAAAAGCATGATAAAACCATGTGAAGATCATTAAACAATAAACAGTAATCCAGATGAATCCATGATAATCCCAATAAACAGTAAACATTAATATAAACATATTGGACATTCGTGTTTAAAAGCTGGATGATACAACCATGTGAAGATCCCGCAACAAGTTAGATGATATTATATATATATATTATATAATACTATATATTATATATATTATATATATTATATAATACTATTTTTTGGCACTGACTCCAAGAAGCGAAAGATTCCGCTGCGGCCATCGCAGGTCACACTCAAATTCAGCCGAGGGCTGTGCTCGGCAGAAAAAATAATGGGCAAATAAGAAAACCAAAAGCACTCAACCGGCAAAGTCCGGCCCATAGGTTTGTCCGTAAGTGGAACACACTAATGGGTCAAAGATGTCACGATGACGCCGGGAGACCTGTAAATCAGGGTCGATGGGAAGATCACCTAAGGCTCTAAGGAAACCTCTGGCCAGGGCTAAGCACAAGCCGGGAGGATACTCTTTGAGACGGGCAGTTGCCCACTGGCCCGAGGCGTCTTTTCCAATCGAGCTACCTTTTGGTAACTCGCTGGTGATGCGCCCACTATGCAGCTCTTGCTTAAGCTGCGGGGCATTCAGCACACCTAAAGTCGTTGGCTTTGACGACTGCGCTCCCCATAGTCCTTGTGCCAGGGTGATGGATTCGCACTCAGGAAGCGAGAGCAGTAGCTGCATGATCGGCGTGCGCCAGATGGAAGCATCATCCGGGTTGGGCGACTCCGCCGGGTGCTCAACGGCTGCAATGCCTCCCGTGCACGCCAAAGCTGCCATAGCAACCAATTGAAAACCCATGAGGATATTCCCGATGGTGACCTGGCTGAGCTCGCGCAAGGAGAGTGAGCAAAGTCCCCATATCTCCTCCAAGGTGCGCACAACGCGCGGACCAGGGCTGCGTCGATGGTCATCATGAGCTCCGGAGGGTATGTGGCGCCCCCTTGCGCGGGACCACGTTTCGCATGGCGGTCCGCCTAGAAGGGCAATGATCTGCCGGTCCAGGAGCGCAGAGATCCAAAATCTGCGAGTCTTGGCATCGGAGAGGTCTCCCCACTGGGGGTCAATCACTATGTCGACCGAAATAACCTGGATGAAGAAAGGTCCATGAAGGTCCGTGAGGCCATCCACAAAGAACTGAAAATCACCTTGTCGCCGTCTGCCCGCGAAAAGGTGAAGAATGTATCGTTCTCTTGCAAATCCCCGTGGTGGGTGTGCAGTAAAATCTTGTCGCCCTTGGCCTTCGATCTCGTGCAGACAATGCTGTTCCAAAGCGGCGATCTCTTGGTGCCACGGGGAGGTTTTGCTGCGTCCTTCTGATGTCAGAAAATCCCATGCCTGAGGAAGTTTCAAAGTGCGAAGGAGCTGTCGGATCTCCTCCCCTGGAACCTGTAAAACTGCCGCATCTTCATCTGTGAAAATCTCCAGAAACCTTTCCAAGGTCGCCTGAAAGAGCGACCATGACAAAGCCTTCGCTCTAGCCGCTGCCCTGATTAATCTCTCGCACTCGGCAATGGTCGTGGCGTCCACAATGTCCAGGAAGATCTTCTCCAAGAGATCCTGGTCAAAGTCCTCATCTGCTCTTCCATGAGGTTGTTCAAGGAGCGGGCCTTGCACCTTCAATGGTGGCAGGAGTCCATCATGGGCAGCTTCCATTGTCGCATTGAGTTGAGAACCAGCTCCGGGCATGGGCTGCCATCGATGTCGATTGGCTTGTAAGATATGGCGACACGCTGTCACCTGCAGGAGATGTGTTTTCAGCTTGGCAAATGTGTGGTATTCCTTCATGCAGGCCCCGCATTGTGATGTAGAGAACAAATGTCGCACGGAGTTGACTTGTCCGTGGACACGAAAAAGATGAGCTCCACACCCTCCTTTGCTGAGAAAACGTTTCTCACACATCATGCATGCATGGATCTGTTCCCCAGGAAGGACTTCAATGCGTGGTGCGGCATGACAAAGTCGACCATGGTCATGTAGGATCTTCAAAAAATCTCCATGAAATTCAGCCACGATATGCAAATTGCGTCGCTGGCCACAATCATGATCTCCTGCTCGGCGAACCAATCTTTTCCAAAAGCCTGGATGATGTCTCATGAGATACTCCCATTGTTGAAATCCTTGTCTAGGATCCGGGAGTTTGGAAGTGTCTTTCAACTGACTCCACATCCATTGCAAGTCGCACCAAATCAAAGCCTGCCAATCCACATCATCATTGAAGAGCCCCCATGATGTTCTGTCGCCAATGCCATACAACTGGCCCAGATATCGAAGGCGGCAGGTTCGAAGAAGAACAGCCGGGTCCGGGAGTCCAGTGTCAGCAAGGATGGCTGCATCACTTCTGGGTGGATGTTGCTGGACAGGAAGAAGTCGGTTATATAGCCGCATCAGAGCGCTATGCAAGTAGTGCTTGTCCTTGCCATCTCGCAGTGTCCAGGACTCCGCTCCATAGAGCAATTTGCTCAGGATCAGCGTACGAAACAGTTCACGACGTCGAGTGATGTCAAGGCCGCGGTTCTGGAACAAGAGTTTTCTGTGGCGGTTGAACGCAGCATGAGCCAAACCAATACGGCGGCGTACTTCTCGACGAAGATCACCCCGATGGTGGATGGTGCTGCCCAAATGAGTGTAAGAGCTCACAACATTAAGATGTTGAACTCCTTCCTCTAGAATGATGGGAAACGTCTGGGGGGAGCTGGGCCCGAAGTATTTGAGCTTGGCCTGATTGGCTCCCTTCCCTTGAAAAACCATCATGAGTTCCGTCTTCCCCTTGGCCAAGTTTGGACTCATGGCGAACTCTGAGCAAAGACCCAGAAGAGAGCCGCCGACTTGGCCAGCAGCTTGTTCAAGGGCCGAGGCTGATTCCGTGGCAAAGGCAATGCATGTGTCATCCATCCAAGTGGGTCCTAAGAAGGGCTGCGTGCCACATTCTGACGTATCAGTTGATGGAAGCCGCAACCCATCTTCCGCAGGAAAACCATCTAAAATGCCATGCTCCTGCATAATCTGCTCAAGGCGATGTAGAAGACGAGCCCATAGGAATGAGAACACGATGTCAGCAAAGCAATCGCCCGGTCGCGTCCCCAAAGAGGTTCTGCATGCATCTAGCTGCTGGCCGACATGAAAATGTGTGTCGGTGTGCAGCGCTTGTAAGACCTTTTGAAGATGCGGTGAGAGACCTGCTTGCTCCACTGCCGGCTGATCCTCAAGGTGTTGATGTAGAGAATGGAGGAGACCTGGCCCAAGGTGCAGGCGCTCGCCAACCGCAGCTATGGCTTCATCGTCCGGGGGACCTCCGAGAGCCAGCTGACGCACTATGCGATAAAACGCTTCGGTCAAATCCAAGAACAGAAAACCCACACACTTGTGCTGTCGAAGGCGTGTTCGAAGATATGATCTCGCCTGATGAACTCCCAAGGTGACGGAAATCCCCCGCATGCCTCCAGTTTGTTGCAGCTGCAAATAGTGCTCGAAGACATTGGCAGTGTGTAGGCGAAGGCAACGATGTAGAGACTTGCCAACGTGCGATGAAATGAGCACGCTGCGGTACGCCGAACAAACATCCCGAGGGCCTTTCTGCTTCCAGATCGGCTGTAGCCGACCGCCCTTGTGCAAGAGGCTTTCTTGGCCGTGGGTGTAGAGCTTCAGAAGCTGACTATAAGTCTTGCGCGCAACGATGGCAGGAGAACTCGCACAGATGTTGGCATCAATCAAGTCAGGGCCCGTGGCCTTGTTGGGCTTGACATGTCTGAAGGCCATTTCAAGCTCTACCAAAGTCGGAACATCTGTGATTTGCAAATCCAGCGAAGTCGCTTGGAACTTCTGGAGGTTCTGGACCCATAAATGACGTTGTTCGAGCCGATCAACTCTTTTTCCTCCTTCCATGTTCTGGAAAAACTGGATCCAAGTGTCCAAAGCCTGAGATGGTGAGGTGCAGTGAGATCCAGAAGAATCCTTTACCATAGGAAGGGTCAGTTGTTTGATCTGCTTCAGGTTGGTTGAGCCAACAACCTTCTTAAGTGCCTGCAAGATCGAAGAAGCCGGAGCATCGGGAGGCAAGTTCTCAAAGGCTTGCTTGAGATAAGTCGTCTTCCTGTCCCGAAGGGTCTTCTTAAGATGTGCCGCAGATGTGTGAAACCTGGCCATCAATTTGATGTTTGCACATAAGAGCCACCGATGATACTGCCAGAGACGGGTCGAGTCAAAATCTGGTGTCGAAGCCCAGGACTGAAAGCAGGCACGAAGGAATTCTTGTCTGTTGCGACGTGCAATCTGACGAAGCCCCCGTCTTGCAATGAGTTTCTGGGTACGGAGAGCCCATGTGGCATCATCGAGGCATGGCTTCTTCGGCCGATGCTTGGTGGCTGGGCAACGATGTTGAAGGCCTTCAAGGAGATGACCATTGAAATGTGAAACCTGGTCCTCAATGTTTTCACTCCATGTTGGCACGACGTAGTCATTCAGGGTTTGCATAACATGGTGGCTTTGAAGCATGCTGAAGTCGATGTGAGCTTTCGCTTGACGCTGCCCAACGGGAGTCTGCATGCCGGTTTCTTGCCACTGGAGCTGTAGAGCAATAGCCATGTGATCATGATGACTGTTGCCCAAGTCAAACTCGTCCAGGACCTTGCTCAAGAGACACTCATGCAAGCAGGTACTTGGGATCGCGATGTAGTCGATCATGTGTTCAGACAAGCCATCTGGGGTAACCCACGTCGTGTGAGTACCTTCATGACATGCAGAAGTACAGGGAAGACAAAGTGCACGATCATCCAAAAAGGCTCGTAGCAAAGGCGTACCCGAGGTAGTGCACCCAATGGTGTTGAAAACAGATGTGGAATCTGCTGTCCCAGGTCCTGCATTCGCATCTAGAAGAGCAAAAAGGCGAGCTGTAGGAGGACAGAGTGCGGTGATCTTCGTGAGCTGCTCCCACCAAGCACTCCGATCAGACAGCGGAACTCCACTCTGTGGTGCATGTCCAACGACAAGCCAAAAATCAACCCACTCAGTGACAACGTGAACCAACATGCAACGTGGGTCCTTGTGCACGACAACAAAGTGTTGGGAATCAAAGTAGACAGGGCCATCACTCGTCGTCGCGTAGGCCTGCTCCAAATTGACCCAGAGTTCAATGCCATGGCATCCACCTTGTGCTCCACTGGCAAAACGAAGAATCTTCTGGGTGCGTGAGCACAGTTCAGGAGTGCGAGCTTCCTGAATGCCCAAGAAGTTGAGGTGCAGCATCTTGAATTGAGTTCGCAAATAATCAAGTTTACCTGCATGTCCCCACTCACCACTATACATCGACCCAATGTTTGCACTAGCCAAGCTGATGTTGATCTGAGCACACTGTTCCAAACTCAGCTTGCTCTCTATGGGAGCTGAAGTCGCATGTAGAGAAGGTAGCTGAGGAGGAGGAACATGAAATCCCTTGGCGCTCAATGCAGGAAGGCCATCCGTTTGGCTGAAAAGCATCCACATATAAGGCAGGAAAGGTCGCCACAAGTCCATGGAGATAGCCTGACGCTTATAGTAAAAGCTGCGAATGCGCTCTTCCTTAGCCAGCCAGTCGGCAAAATCGTTGTATGGATCGCCACAGTGCCCAGGAGTGTGCTCTACTTTGACTCGATCTCGTAAAGCAGCATCCAGAGCTTGAAAGCAGCTTCTCAAACTTGCAAATGAGGTATCCACATGTGCAGTGCCAATCTGACCCAAGGCTTGCATTGCTGTGGTCCATGAATCCGACCGAAATATTATATGATATAATACTATATATATTATATATATTATATAATACTATATAATACTATATATATATATTATAATCCGAACCGAACTGGCAATCCAAACAAAGATATGGATTGGTCCGACCATCCGCGCATCCCTCACTGTTCATCCCATCATGGGATTTCCCCTATCGTGGGTGCCGAACGACTATGGAAAATGCACGGAAGACCGGGAAGACCATCCTCCAACATCGTTACCCTCTGGTAAACAGCCACATCACTATGGAAAATCACCATTTTTCATGGGAAAATTCACTATAAATGGTGATTTTCAATAGCTATGTTAAATTACCAGAGGGTACTATCCCACCGACTCGGAGGTATTTCTCTGGCACATTCTGGTGTATCTTCACTATGAACATGGGGGGGATGACCATCAATAATGTCCTAAAATGGTAAAAATAAAAAGGGGCTATTTGAGCTGCGACAAACCATCTATCGGATCTATCGTCAAACGAAGCTGTTGTTTTTTAGGGGTAAACCTTCAAAGCCCTCTATTTTCATCAACCAATGGGCCAATGGGAATTTGGGACATCTATGATGACCGAAAATGACCATCCCATTTCGACAGAATCATGGCCCCCTGGATCTGCAAAGGTCATCGAGGCGCTCTTCCCTGCGGATGGTCACTTTCTCCTCGCCCCCGAAGCAGGCCGTCCTTGGTTCCAGCCGACGATGTTCCGTTGATCCATGGCTGGGGGGGGAATGAAGGTTTGGCTAAACCAAGCAGCTGCTTTGATGTGGGAACCAGGGGATTCCGGGTCTTTCATCCATACCCAAATCATCTTGCAGGATCTAAACCCGTCATTCACAGGAACCACTAGTACATCACCTCAAGATGTTTGCTGCGAGGTATAAACCTACACAAGAACGACCCACCAATGGCGGGCCTGCCATGATGACTACAAGTGCGATGGGAGACCTGATCATCTGACCATCTGTTCAAGGATTAATCTATGTATCTTCTGTGCTGTATCTATATGTGTACATATTTGTATGTGCATGTATTATCATTTATTCATTCACGATGAAACAAGTACATAGATCTTTATGTGTGTATTCCACAAGACATACACATACAGATACATATCAATGCCTACTCTAAGATTTTAAAGGTAACTGGGCTATTTTGGCTCCCTCTAGATGCCAACTCTTCCAGTACCCACCTCAGTTTCTCAGCCCAAGCAACAGGAAAGGGATCTTGACCTCCAACTGCCTCAATGGGTGGCCACTGCGGTTTTACCCGTGAACCAAACTATCTGTGGAACATGGATGACAAAATGGTCCATTGATAGATGATTCACCAAAAAAGAACATGATAATTTTCCACATCTATGTCAGTTTACAAGAGGGTAGCTTAAAGTATCAGCAACAGAACACACAAAATGCCTATGTTTCAAACGGCTCCCTGGTCGAGCTCGGAAAGATCGGTAGCCCAAGGCAGTACAAATCCAAGATGCCCAACCCTACCCTGCAAGCAACAGTTTTTTAAAACTGGAATTAACTGGATCTGTGTGGCAAAATATATGTAAAGTATAATATATATATATATACGTGTGTGTAAGATTCATTGTAAAATTATGTATGTCCTAATATGTTTATAGCCAGGAATTCACCACCTGCTCAACCAGAACCGGCTCGCCACCAAGCAGCAAATCTGCGCCCTTCTGCGGCCCTGATTGCCTTCTCTGTCGGCCACCCATGCCGCCCATGCCACCCATGCCACCCATGCCGCCCATGCCGCCAAACCTGGGACGTCATGAATGGAAACCATTGGGAACCCTGGTTGAGTACCCCCAAATAGTTCTCATGTGGTAAAAATTGTACCTCCACGCAGCTCCCAATCAAAGAGCCCATGATTTTAAGCAAAATCCCGACATTAACAAATTTGGACATGTTGCAGAGGAAGACGAGAGCAGGTATTTCACCAAAATTTCAAGCCCATG